TAGCTAGCTAGCTAGCTGGCTAAGTAGCTAGGTACGTAGCTAGGTAGGTAGCTAGGTAGGTAGCTAGGTAGGTAGGCAGGTAGGTAGGTAGGTCGGTCGGTCGGTCGGTCGGTCGGTGGATTCACGGACGGATGGATGGATGGATGGATGGATGGATGGATGGATAGATAGATAGATAGATAGATAGAGAGATAGGTAGATAGACAGACAGATAGATAGATAGATAGATAGATAGATACATAGATAGATAGATAAGTAGTCGTCCTTAGGGGCATCGGACGGACTGGCCTTATCGAAGCTTTCGGTCAGCAGTGATCGGGTCTTCGGAAAGCTCCAATAGACGGCAGCCGCAGAAGGAAGAAGCCACGGAGCGCAGCGAAACCGCCGCCAGGCAGCCGCAATGGGCGAAGGTACCATTCTCGGAGGCGTCTACCCCAAAAAGGCAAGCCCTAAACCCTGAACCAGGAGCACATGGGTGCTACACCCGAGCACCTTGAATGAGGAGCGGCAGTGTGTCAATGTATAGCCCATTCCGTGACATGTTCTGCCGCAGTAATGTAGGGGCCTAAATATTGCCAATACTTTTTGGGGGGCTCCTTATCATAATTATAGTATAATGGCCGCCAAAAACCTATTCTAATTCTTAAGGCCCCTACATTGGCTAGTTTATACCGCGTAATTTATAGTAAACAGCCGTACAAGCAAGCATGCAACACATATTGCATTTATTCGAAGGACCGAACGACCCTTCCCACAACTAGGAGCCCAATACCACTATACTACGGTTGACGGTATAATTCCTGCATTACCCATAATAAGGAATATACCATAATTCCCATGGCTTTGGGTCCTTAAGGCAATGCAGGATTTAGATCATCAGCAGTATGAGCTCCTATCTGGCGGCTGAGCCTTAAACCGCTTTAAGGTACATCTCGTTCTTACAGATAGGCCCCAGACGACAACAGACTCGAGATGCAGCCTTAAGCACCCTAACATCTGAACCCTAAACCCTAAACCGCAAACCCTAAACCCTAAACCCCTAAACCCCTAAACCCCAAACCCTAAACCCCTAAACCCTAAACCCCTAAACCCCAAACACCCTAACATCTAAAGCCAGGCCCGTGTCCTGCTCCCACCTCTCCTGCACGAACCTGAAGATTGGCATCACCTGCACTTAGTTGCTGAATTCAGACGCCCCAAAAAGTGTTCACTTTCAGTTCTACAAGGGACTATATTATCTCCTGCAAATGAAAGGTCTCTGAGCTCGTGTCCCAGGTTTTTTCTAGGCTTTAGGGTTTAGCGTTCAGGCTATGCACGGTTCTTCAAAGAAACTGTTGGGAGTAAACCCTAAACCCAAAGCCCTAAACCGTAGACCCGTGGGTCCAGCCAACCAGGTTATCAATTGGATCTCGGGATTAGGGGTTTAGGGCTTAGGCTGCTTTTTATGAAAGTTCAGCGTCTACAGGGCTTACGGCTTAGAGTTTAGGGATCTAGAGTTGGGTTTAGGCTTACAGCTTAGGGTTTAGGGTTCTAGACTTGTGTTTAGGGTTTAGGGGTTTAGGGTTTAGGGTTTAGGGTTTAGGGGTTTAGGGCTTAAGGTTTAGGGTTTGGGTTTAAGGTTCTAGACTTGGGTTTAGGGTCTAGGGTTCGGGTTCAGGCTTCTAGACTTGGGTTACTCGCTCGCGATTCGAGTTCCGGAGGCGGCTCCAAGTTCAAACACTTTTGGCCCCACAAGCCGGGAGCCCTGTAGACACTACCTGTTGTTTAGGGTTTAGGGTTTAGGGTTTGGGTTTAGGGTTTGGCTTTCTGCAAATAGGTTCTTTCAAAAAAAGGTAGGTCGTTTAAGCCACAGGTAAACCCTACACACCCAAAGTTCTATCTTCTGAGGCCTCTGAAGTTACCGCAGTTGCAGGGTTTTCGGACCTAAACCCTAAACCCTAAACCCAATCTGCACTGCAAAAAAACTTCCTCAGAGCTCCTTAAGGACGAAATGAACCCAAAAAGGGTTTAAGGTTCATATACCATACTTA